CTTGCATTCCTGGGATAAATCCCAGTTGATCATGGCATATGGCATAGCATTCTTTTTGCTGGATTTGGTTTGCTAGTATTTTATTGAGGATTTTTGAGGTATTGGTCTGTTGGTTTGTGTGTGTGTGGTGTCTTTGTCTGGCTTTCGTGTCAGGGTAATACTGGCCTCATAGAATGGGTTGGGAAATGTTCCTGCCTTCCCCACTTTATTATAGTTGCTGTTTGCGTGATCTATCTTTGTCCATCCTCTTACTTTCAACCTATTTGAAATGTCTTTAATCTAGATTTCCTGTATAATAGATTACCTCTATAATAACTGATGATATTTCTATTACAATGAATAAAACTGCATTTATCTTACTAGCTGCTCTTTTTTAATTTGCTGATGTAAACCTTTATTTTCACAACTATAATAACTTCTTGTTTCCATATACTCTCTGATTCTCTTTCTTGCCCTAAACCTTGGTGTTTTGGCTTATTTTTGTTTTGCTTAAAATAAAGTTTAGTGACAATATGTTGGGCCCACTTTTTTTCTACTGATTTATGAAATTGTAAGCCTAAGAAAACCACTAAACTAGAAAATTTCCACGACTAGGTTAGAGATATATTGTACATACAACATAGGTTGTATCTATGGAACAAGTTTGTTAAACTTCTGAATAATTTTTAAGGTAATAAAATTTTAGCAGTAGTTTTGCTTTAATTCATATTTTTCAAAGACATTATAAAACTGACTTTGCAAAAGAGCTGTAAACGATATTAAAGTTGCTACTGTACACTGAATAATTGAAAACCATCTGGATGTTGGATAATGTAGATTTGTTAAATTACAATGAATTCATATATTATATATTAATATATAATTATATTATATATAATTATATATAAAATCATGCTTTATAATAGTATCATATGACATGGAAAAATGTTCAACTACAGGTCAGGTTGTCCTATTCTAGTAACTGCTCCCTCCCCTAACCGTTTTGGGCATGTTGCAACTTCCCAAGGTGCTTTACCACACCTGTCAGCTTTCTTAATCTTGCTCACTCCTTTATAAATAGTCACTTCATTAAACCCTGTTCAAACACCTCACTTCAGTGCATCATCTATTTCCTGCCAGGACCCTGAGAAACACAGGTTAATGGTGAAATTACTATTACTCTGTGGTTGGTGAAATTAAGATGAAATTACAGAGAAACAATAAATGGCTGTTTTTCAAAAAGTATTACTATGATATGTGCACTGCAGCTAATAATAAGGAGGGTCACCATTAATTAAATGTATTTTTAGTTGCATACTCTTCTTAATATATCATTTCATTTAATCCTTTAAATACTCTATGAGATATAATAGTTATCCTCATCCCCAGTTTATACAGTAGGACACATGAAATATCTTTGATTACTGTGAATTAATGTATTGTCGTTGCCTTCTTTTATAGATCATTCACGAGAAGTCTTGGAGCAATTAGTAGGCCCAAACAAACTAAAGCAAGTGACGTGGACTGTTTATTGATGCTTATTGAAGCTCATGAAAGACGTGATCGTCATGCTACTGGCCCAGGAAAGAGTGGTCTTAGACACTGGCTTTCCAATAATATGGTTTGTGCTTTGAAGTTAACCAGACTCTTAAACATTTTAATAGTGCTGTTATTCTGTGTTTGTTTAATGGGTGATTGTTTTTGAAATGGTAATCCTAGCATGCCCTCTGATGTATTTGGAGTGGGGGTGAGGTATTGTGTTTGTTTCTTAAATAACAAAGTTTCAAATTGCCTGTTTTCCCTGGAGATTTCCCTCTCCTACCTAGATATTTGAGCTGTTATAAGAGAAATTTACCAATATGGATAAACATTAGGAGAATTCTAAGTAAGGTTATTTCTAAAAGCATAATTACCTCCCTAGCGATTTCCTGGGTCATACCTACCTGAAGTATTTAAATACCCGTTTGGAACCGAACTCAGTGGGTTCGTCTCTTGGTCAGTGCAGAGTCGAAATGCACAACCAAAGCAGAAGTAGGTGAAGAAAAGATTTATTGCTCGCACGAGCCATGGAGCCCACCAGGGATATCTCCCAAAAGCAGTGTCTCCCGGAGCTCAGTGCCCGTGGAGACTTTATACACAGGAGAGCAGAGGATAACAGGTTTATTTGTAACGACTGTGTAACAACCGTGTTTATTCAGGGTGCATGCTACTCATACATCTCATGATCTGAAAGTGGCTGTCCGGACCCTCCCAGAGGAGGAGAATTTAAGGATGCTAATGAATTTAACTTTAGGATGCTTGGAGTTGGGACATTTTGCAGGGGTCTTGCTGCAAAGGTCTAAGTTTCTCTGCAAGATAGCAACATCCGCAAAACAGGAACATCGGTTTCACAGAACTTGTTTCACAGCACGCACAGTTTCTTCCTATCTGAAAGCCCATGTTAGTTGTTGATCAGGTCCTCAGTAACCCTTTCTTTGCCTGGTTCCCTGGTCACACATGAGCCAAAAGCAAAGCTGAACATCAGGCCTGCAAATTCTTCACAGAATTTAATATTTCAATGAAACAAAGAAATATAATAGTTTAATGTCATGATCCATGACATCATACACCTCAGCAATGCAGCACATGAATGTTTCTGAGGCCCTTGCCCAGCCACTTATTTCATTGATTTTTACGGCTATTTTTCCCAAATACATCTATGAAGTTTCTTCCTTAAAACTTGCTTTCAGGGGCCGGCCCCTTGACCAAATAGTTAAGTTTGTGCACTCCACGTTGGTGGCCCAGGGTTCACCAGTTCGGATCCTGGGCATGGACCTACACACCACTCATCAAGCCACGCTGAGGTGGCATCCCACATAGGGGAGCTAGAATGACCTACAACTAGGATACACAGCTACGTACTGGGGCTTTGGGGAGAAAAAAAGAGGACGATTGGCAACAGATGTTAGCTCAGCGGCAATCTTCCTCACCAAAAAAAATCCAAAAAACAAAAACCACTGCATTCAAGAATGTGTAAGAATTAGTAAATACAAAGTATCATTACAGAGGTTGTATCCCGGCAGCTCTGTTGGTCTTCACATTGTGAAATAAACAGCGCAGGTCTTAGTTTTCAAATGAAATGTATTACTCTTCTACAATCACAAAATTCTCTGAAGTATACTGTGCTTGAACTGCCCCAAATTCAGCATATTCCTTGTGCTGTGCGCCTGTCTCAGTGTGACTTTCATAAAGATTTCCTATTTTAATTCTGATGTAGGGAAAAACTAGGAGAGTATGATATGGTAAGTTTCTTGTGCATGTTTAGAGGGAGGGTTTACATATTCAACTCTATTTCTTGTCCTCACTATTACTTACTTTATAAATGTGGTATGTTTATAGTGTGGATATATACATTGCCTCTGCAAAGGTGGTACATACATATATGTGTGTAAAATGGGTAAGGCCATAGTTCCACCTATGACATTTTTCTGAAGGCAAGTTCAGTAAAATTTAATATTGAACATCTAACCAAGTCAATAGCTTTTCCCCCTTTTTGGGAAACTAGTTTCAAGATTATCAGCTTTTTAGGATCTATAAAGGATTTATCTTCCTAAAGCAGTTTGCAGTTTGATCTTGCCTTTTTTTTAATGTTGCTGGTTGTATTAGCTATTTCTTACCACCCTGTTTAAAATCTCAGCACCTCATTCCCTACCCCACCTATCCCTCTCACCCTGACCTCTTTATTTTTCTCCTTGCCATCCATCCCCATCTGACAGCCATTTTATTTATTAGCTGTCTTCTCGCCCCAGAATATAAGCTTCATGAAGATGGAAATTTTTGTCTTTTTTTTCACTGCTGTATCCCCAGTGCCTAGACAGTGTCTGGCACATAATAAGCATCCCAATATTTGAGTAAATGGACAAGGAAAGAATTAAAGGGGAAAGAAAGAAATAACAGTAAGACCCATACTTCCAGCTTCCAGTCTGACATGTAAAGAGATGGGGAGTCATCACTCCCATCCTCAACAATAAGATAAAAGCTGAACAAACTTAAAATCGTGAAGCAGTACAGTATTATTTGAAAGTGGCCTTGGCTTAGTTGTAAATGTATACTACAAGCTCTAGAGCCGCCACTAAAAAAAAATTTTAAATAAGTATGATTGGTATCTTAAGGCAGGAGAGAAAATGGAATCATATAAAATGCTCAATTAAAACCAGAGAAGGCAGAAAAAAGAGTAGAACACAAAAAAAGAACAAGGGCATAGGATAAGTTAAAAATATGGCAGGAATTAATCCGACTGTGCCAATAACCACTTTAACTGTGAGTTAAAACCTCTTAAGCTATGACGTCACTTCCAGGCTCCCTACTCTGTGCATGGGAGACTTGGAAATATTTTAAGTAATGTTTGGATGCCTCAAAGACCCTCTTGTGCCCTCTTCGTAAGCCATTAAGAGACGACAACAGAAATACTGTTGTGGATATTTAAATTTAAATCCACTCTTTGCCTCATCAAGATGATTTCCAACAGTGCTCCAGAGTTTAATTTTCTCTTTCTTATCTCGCTGAGAAGGGCAATAACCAGAATACCCCGGATTTTCAAAGAATATGTCAACAAAACTCTTTCCTCTCAAATATCATCCAATACTACTGTAGCCTATAATTTCTATTAATTTTAACCAAGGCTGAATCAAAATTTTGAGTTTATAATTTTTAAGCCCCAGTAGACCAATGGAAATTGGATGCAGCACGAGTTGACTGATTGGGCTGTAATAAACTCTGACTTCCAAAGTTCAAGAATCACAAGTAAATAGATTTCAAGATCCTCTGCAACCCCAGCGCCAAAGCTCTCATCGAATTATCCTGTTTTCCTGTCTAAGCAGCCACTCACCCTTAATGCTTTCTCCACATTTCTGCTGTATGACTGTAACTCTGGTCACGTCTCCCTGGTGTCCTAATCCCACTGGCCTGTGAGTATTATTAGAAAGCACATAATGTAAGTGTCATAAACAATTCCTAAGCAGTATATAAGAACATGAGAGCACTTTAGAAAGGCTACATTTTATACTTCACTTGTAACATATAGAGTGGTAGCGTTTGGTTTTAAATTAGAGAATAGGAAATACAGTACATTAGTATTAGTGCAAAATTACAAAACCCAAGGGGAAACACTAGTCCTCCCCCCGCCAGTCCAGCCATCTGGTACCCTCTCAGAAGGCAACACTGTTACCAGTTTCTTATTTGAGGGATATTCTATGTATACTGCAAGCAAATATGTATTTTGTACATACATACATATGTGGGTATATACATACAGCTTTTTTACATAAATAGTAGTATACTATACACGTTCTTATTCACATTGTTTCTCATTTATGTCGTAGTGTTTTTATTGATATATAAGATCCTGACAACCTGGGGCATGTAGTGGTGGCAAAACCACTTTCTAGCTGACCGCAGTAAGCCATAGAGGCATCATTAGGTGTCAGTCCCAGTACAGAGTGTGTAGGAAATTCTAAAATCTTCATTTCATCCATGGTTGTCAATTGAGGTCCCATAATGTACTTTATACTCTATTAGGCACTTTATACTCTCATTTAATAGCCCTTTGAGGTGAGGTTTATAAATTTTTGTTACTGTTTTACAGATGAAGAAATGAAAGCTCAGAGAGCTTAACTAGACAAAATCCTAACTAGAAAGTGACAGTTGCCTGGTTCCAGAGCCCATGTACTCTGTACCATGCCAACTGCATCTTTGATCGGTACGGGGAATTTTTTTTAAATATAGTATTCTTCAGTATTTTCTATTTTGTTTAATTCAAAGATGCATCATATAGTTGTCCTCAAGTGCAGAAACAGGCTCTGCTACAACATCTGATTCCTCTCCACTGCTTAAATTCCCTGTTGCTACCATGGGGTATTGCCTTCTAGAATTATATTCCTATAGCAGTAAAACAAGAAAAAAATTACAGAGATTTGTATATTTGGCATAATGCAGAACTAGCTACATGACAAAAGCTGACAAAACTTTAAACCTTCATATTTTGGAAGCAAGATCTGCCATTTAACAGGAATTGCACACTTTAAGCTGGAGAGCCTTTTAGGGTTAAACCCAAACATTGCCACATCCATCCTTGGAAGCAGTTTCACACCTCAAGGCTGGAAATCCCACACTGTGCTTGTTGTCAGTCCATTGTTTTCCCGCCTCGTGGGCTCTGGAAGTGAGTATTCTACCACCTTGCGCAGCTGATGCTGAATGCTGTGTCCGCTGAACTGGGGTCGCCCAGGGTCACCAATCAGTACTCGAGTTCTGTGTGTCCAAAAGCAATTCTTGAGCCATTGATAAAGACCATCTGCAAGGTCTTCATCATAAAACATATCCCCAAGCACAACAAGGTCCCACTTATCTGGTTCCAAATCCAAAATGTTTTTGGTTAAAATGGGAAGAGGATTCAGTTGGTTCAATTCACAATTTAGTGTGATAGCCATTCCTGCAACTTCAAAAAAAGCACACAATGAATTGGCATATGCTAGGCTGTTCTAATTCCTGCAAAGAGACTCTTTAAGGAATTTAGAAAATCTCATAACAATATGTTCTTTCCCCCTTTTTGTTGAAAGTTGTTTTTTTTAGGTAAGGAAGCCTCAAGTTTATGCCGATATAAGCCATTTACTGCAATTTTCAAATATATGAATGGATATCCTGAAAACAAAACAGCTGGAAATGTTGAGGTTTTAAGGAAACATTTGCTGATCTCAAGACCCAAGAGTTTTGGTTTGTGACAGCTGTACAGAAGACAGAGAGACAAGCCCTGGGCTTGAGCAAGGTGGCAAGTTAGAACTGAGACCCTGTATAAAATCAGGATCTTCAAGGGCTAGATTCTCAGTGAAAGGGAACATTAGAAGAAAATCAGATAAAATTAAAACCTACCTGTCTCAACTCGGGTTCTAATGGAACAAAATCTCCCTTAAAGACACAGGCCTATCCTCACTTGGGTTTTGGGTCAAATAAACACTGCCTATACATTTCAGGAAATTCCTAGCCCAGAAATTTACAGTAAGTGCTCCCAGGTTGGTATCACTTTGGGATATATATCAGATTACAAAATACACATGGAAATAAGCTATCACATTGAGGTATCTGTAGATACTTATCCTGGAAGAAAAAAAAAGATGAGCTTTAAATATTTTTCAATATGAAATTCTTACTAGGGTCAATGTCATTGGCCAAGATCCTTGATGCCCCACTCATCTTAGCAGCAATAGCTGTAGCTCCACAGCCACTCCCAAGATCTAACACAGATTTTCCTCTGACAACATCAGGATTATCCAAAAGATACCTAAATTAGAAAGAAAGAAAGAAAGAAAGAGAAAAACATTATCTAAGAGAGATGGGAGAAGGTCAGTAAGAGGTATCCAAAACAGTTTCTATGGGTTGACTGGACAAAGAAATAGTGGAACTTAGCGGAAGAATTTGGTCCAACCTCGGCAAGTTTGTCCTGACTAGAGTGAGACAAAATATTAATCTTAAGAGCCGGGCAGAAGTGGCAGAGAGAGGCCCTCATCATTTGGTCTTTCTCTTTAGCAGTTGTGAAGAGCAGTTCCACAACTGAGCACTTATGATCCAGAAACTACAAGCACCAAGAATATAGACCTACAAAATACTGCTCTAATCAGGACTCAGTAAGCTAGACCCCAAAGTCACTGTCTCCTTTTGATTGTTCATCAGAGTGGTTTTACCTGCTGCTTGAGTGGTATTACAATGACCTCTCTGGTAAGGGACAATCAAAGTCCAGGTCAACCAAAGAATTTGGACCAGGGTTAAGGAGCTACTGAACAAGTGAAGATGAATAGGAAAACACTGAAATAATAAATGTCAACTGACACTTGATCTTGGTATTGGAATCATAAAGAATAGCAGGGACTACAGCAAGGCAGGGGTGCACGTGCCCTGTCTAAAGGGACAGTTGCTAACTATCTTCAGCTAACTGTTACCACATGGACATCCCATGTAGGGGCTGTCATGGTGGCACAGCGGTGAAGTTCGCATGTTCCACTTCAGCGGCCTTGGGTTTGCTGGTTCAGATCCCAGGATTGGACCTATGCACCGCTTGGCAAGCCATGCTGTGACAGGCATCCCACATATAAAGTAGAGGAAGATGGGCAGGGATGTTAGCTCAGGGCCAGTCTTCCTCAGCAAAAAGGAGGATTGGCAGCATATGTTAGCTCAGGGCTCATCTTCCTCAAAAAAAACAAAACAAAACAAAACTCATGTTATCAGAGATTCTTGTTTTTCAAATCAAAGTAGATTTTTAGGTGAAATCCCTCAAGTTTTAAATGTTAGCAACTGATTTTTTATAAGTTTACAAATAAAGGCCAAACAAAAGGTATCTGTCGGTCACCAGTCTGTGACCTCTGATTCAAAGAGTCTCTTAAGGAGTTTGATCGTATTTATATTTGGAATTGATAAACAATAACTTTAATAGACATCACGTAAAATGTCAGTATTTTAAAAATATGATGTAAGTAAACAAAGCTTGAAAATGTGGCCACACAACAACCAGAAAATCGAAATTGTGTGATACCGCCTGGAAAGTTTTCCAGTCCTTGGGATTCTCCAAAAAGCTCGATGTTTTCATTTATTTATTTTGCATTTAAAACAACAGTCATGCATCGCATAATGACGTTTTGGTCAACGATGGACCACGTGTACAACTGTGTTCCCATAAAATTAGTACCATACAGCCTAGGTGTGTAGGTTTGTGTAAGTATACTCTATGACGTTCACACAGTGACGAAATCGCCTGACAATGCATTTCTCAGAACACAGCCCCATGTTTAAGTGACGCATGACTGTATATACAACATTAATTCTGTTAGGGCCATACTATTCGTGTGAAAGAGAAGTCCTCATCCTTTTCATTTCACAGCTTTGTAACCTCAAGGTGTAAACAGATTAAATCATTTACCAACCCAAGAGCAAAGACTAGAGTGAAATGTTGAAAGTTCTTGCCTTTGTTTCAGCGGCGGTGTTTTAATAAAAGGCACAGTGTGAATGTGTGAGAAAATGTCCTAAAGAAGACCTTTGCAGTCTGGGGAGTTGGAAGGGGGTACCTTAAAAATGCAGGTTCGGGTCCAGAGTTCACCTGAGATGTCAGTGAAGCACCGGAGAAGAGGGAAGCCTTGAGCGCCCGCTCCCTCACGTTTCTTGTTCTTTGGGAGATGGAGAGGCATTGATGGAGGGAGTGTGAGGCTTAAGGAGGAAGATTTACAGGATTAAACTAGGAGAGCTGAAGGACTGGCTTTAGGTTCCATCTAGGTACTCTGCACTGGCCATACCTTATGAACAATGAACCTGAGAATACTGTGAGATTTCTGGATCATTTATAGCTATCTAGGATCTCGACAGCTGACCCTAGGATTTCTCTTGGGGAGAGAACTATAAGGGGGAAATACCTTGATAAGCTTGGAGTAGAAGGTAAAACTATGCAAGGAAGCAACCAAGAAATATTCTTAAGCTGCTCTACATTAGGAAAACAAGAAGAATTTGGGGTTTTGCTCTGTTTTTTTGTCAGGGGCAAGGAGAATGCAGCGTTGGAAGGGGCTGAACAGAGAAAGGATCTGTAGCAGGCTTAAAGGTTCCCATTTCAATTAGGGTAGTACCTAGACAGGGCTTGGCCTCCGGGCCAGTAGATTGCCCAGTAAGGATTGCTGTGGGGCCACAGGTCAGCTCTTTCCCACCAGAACTTGCATCTAGGGGTCAAAAGCCGCAACTGAATTTCAGGGGTGAGGCTGCCCCTGTTGGTGACTTCGGTGTTCTCCTCCAGGAAAGCTTTCATCTCAGGGTCCGAAAAGCTTCCAGTCCCTCTCCAGGGGCAGCGGCCCCAGGGAGACAAGGCAAGACCACTGCTTCTCATAGCCTTCAGAGAGACACCACAGTGGCTCATGGGGAACGGGGCAAATACTCTCCAGCCTAGGCTCAAAGCCATCAGGCCTTTTCCAAAACACAGGTTCTGCCAATGTTGCTGTTGATAAGAGCCGCTCCTCACGGGGAAAGAATAAAAGTCTGGCTGCCAACTTGATCTCAAGTGGAATCTCTGGATCTCTGACAACAGAAATAATACTGAAAATTCCAGGGTTCACGGACACTTCCAAATCCTAGTACATAGAAAATATTGCAGTGTGAGCTCTGTAGCAGATGATCCACAAGCGCAAATTCATTTTAGATGAAAGCGTTGTGTATCAATTTAGGAAAATCCAATCTTTTAAAAGGCTGCCTTTTCACAACAGGATCCTTTTAATAATTTAGAACAACAAATACACAAGCATTTGATTTTGAGAGAAATCCTCAGGAACAATGCCTATTAAAGAAAACAGGTATGCCTTTAAAGTTCTTTCATACATTTAATGTCACTTACCTTGAAGGAGGCATTGTAGTTGGCAACTGTAAATAAAATAAATAAAAGTCCCCCTCTTCAGGAAGCTTAGACTCCAGGGGTGGGAGAGAGCAATTAACAAAGCACACACAGTTCTTGCCTTTATGTTCTTGCCTTTATGAAGTCTAGCCAGGAGGTGTGGAGGTTAACAAACTATAATTGCCTGTGGGCAGAGGTATACAAATTATACTGACTACTATCTATTTCAATAAAGCTTGTTGTAGCATAAAACAATGCAATCAAGGTTCAGATTTTTCCCTTAATAAAAAAAAAAACTTTATGGGTTTATTTGTAATAAAAGAATATCAACTCCTGCTGGGAGCCGTCAGGCTACAAACTAAGCCTCTGCCTTGTGACACGGTCCGGGAGAGAGATGAGGGGACGCACGGCGACCCTCAAGGGAATCTACCAGGCTGCCCCTGCAATAAGTCTCCCTGGTACTTTTGACTTTCCTGCTTCTGCTCACTCTGTTCTGCACCTGGGGTTATTTCAGGGGAAGTCAGCCCGGCCCTGGGAATGAGAATGATACAATGCAATATTCTAGGGAAAGTTCTGGGGAAAAACATCTTCTAGGGAAAGAACATTCTGATCCGTCCTTTGGTCGGGTGGAGCGATGGGAGTGGAGAGGGAACAAAGAAATCTGCAGCCCCCACAGATCTCTCTGGGAGGACGGTGGTTGCCACGGCCCATTGAGTCAGGAGGCCGCTGGGGGTGGCCTCCTTGAAGTAAAGAATTACAGAAGCTTGACTCCCCCGGGGCCTACACACAATCAATTGCTCTTAGGACTATTGTCTACCTTGCAATCAATTGCTCTTAGGACTATCGTCTACTTTACAAAAACCCGCTTACGCGAGCCAAAAATATGTACTGGGACTGTCCCATGAAATCACCCTTGCATATCCTGAGCCCTATATAAATCATGCATATACAAAATAAAGTCAGACTTGGACACCAAACTCCTTGTCTCACTGCCTCCTCCTTCGCCGGCGCCGTCCATCCCTCAGGAGACCCTGTTCCGGCTGGGGCTGGACCCCGGCAAACTCCCAGATCTCTTTCTGTAAATATCTCTGATGATTCATGCCTACCAAGTCTGGGCTGAAATGGCTTGTTCCAATAGAAAAACACCTTGATTAAGTAGGGATGAGGAAATGCGGTTGTGACACAAACCACACACCAGTTGTTTGGGATCTCTGATCTGATCTACATAAACGTTTTAGTCTTACATCCCCCCAAGCATTTATAGAACTTAAATGCCTACCAACAGCCAGACTGGTGATAAATGAGAGATGCAAGCTGGTTATAGATACAGAGCGGGTGTGGCAAACTGAAGACTGTTTCTAGACAGTCCAAAGGGGCCAGGAAACTGCTGCCAGGCAGGAACATGCAGCCAGATCGTCCAATATCTCAAAGTAATCCATATATTTACATATAAACTCCAATTTTAAACGCCGGCAATTAATTAAAATATCAAAACACAAGGCAGATCAAAAATGCCTGTCAGGCCATTTTTGTGAATTCAGTCTGTGAACTCAGGATAAATTTTCAGTGGGTTTACGCCCTCGGGATCCCAGGGTCTCTAACAGCCTGACTTCTCACCGGACTAGTTCTGTTAGGAAGTATTCGAGTCAGTCCTTGAAGCGCACAAGCCTAAAGTTTAAAAACAAAGCAGAGCAAACGAGATGATTTTGCTTTTGGACACCATGCCATCCAGACCGACGCCTCCCCCTCCCATCCCAGCCCCAGCGGAGCTTCGGTTATGAATACGTGATTATGTGGCGGACCCTGTGCAGGTATTAACTGGTAAGGAAAGAAGACTAAACAGGGTAAGTTCCAAAGGTGCTTGTGACAACATTATTTCCCTCCCAGAAGGACAGGAGTCGATCTTAAAGGGGCAGGCACCGTCCTCTTTCTCCTTACCTGGCTTTGCTAACACCGCCCCGGGACACTAAGCACAGGGCGCGTCTGTCCCTCGCCCTGGCGGCTCCTTTCGCGCGTGCTGAGCGTCTGTCCGGCCGCCCAAGCCCGGGGCTGCCGCCCAGCAGCAGCAGCAGCACCCCAGCCGCTCCCGCGCTCCGCCCCGTCCGGCGGCGCTGCTCGCCCTTTTCCTGCGCTGCCTTAACGCCGCAGGAAGTGCGAAACCAGAGCGCACGCCGACCTCCCTTCGGAAATGAGGGAACGTCAAATTCTGACTTCCCAAAATATCCATTCCGAAGCATCTGTGGAGCATGTGCTTTGTGCCAATCACAGTTCTGGGCACTGGGCATAGAGTGGTGAGCAAAAGAGACACAGTGAAGCCCTTCATGACGCTTACATTCAACCGAGATTGAATCATACTGTATATCCTCCCTTTTATAATACTTTCCATAAATGCACAATCTAAATCTATTTGCAACCTGTATCACTCAAGTTCTGGACCCATACGTCCGTCTTCCAACCCTTCAACTCTACGCATTTCAACGTTAACTCACCATCTCTCCTGACAATGATTAAAACCTGCTTGGCATGCCAAAAAGAAAAGAAAATGGACCCAGGGCCGGCTGGTGGCACAGTGGTGAAGTTCTCACTTTCCGCTTTGGCCACCCCGGGGTTCGCTGGTTTGAATCCCGGGTGCAGACATAGCGCCGCTTGGCAAGCCACGCTGTGGTAGGCGTCCCACATAGAAAGTAAAGGAAGATGGGGGCACGGATGATAGCTCAGGGCCAGTCTTCCTCAGCAAAAAGAGGAGGATTGGCAGCAGTTAGCTCAGGGCTAATCTTCCTCAAAAAAAAAAAAAGGACCCAAATTAAGAAATAGGCAAACCGTCTTTCTTGCATCTTCATTTGCAGTATGAGAAATGAACTAGCAGCAGCCTGTTCAAAATTAGAGCTTGTCGCTGGGGTTCTGTGCTTCTGTTCTGGGTTTAAGAGTTTCCCATTTTTGCTGTAAACTGGAACCTCTAGGAACTACTATAAGGAAATAAAACTGTTATTTCAGTTAACAGCCCCAGATGCATCCTTATCATTTGCTTCTTAGATGAATAGCTGTATTTATGTCTAGTTGACAGGTGTGGGGACCTGGAAGTGGCCACCCCAAGATATGTCTCTTCGGCATCAGGATTATTTGAGGCCGATTGCTTTTGATAAACTGGGACAGAGAAGGAGGCTCTGAGGAATGGACTTGCCCTTTGTTAGGACATATTTACATTTGTAAGGTAAATCTCTATCTGTAAAAGGTGCCTCCCTCTCTGTACCAGGAAGAAGAAAGGAGATGACCTTCTCTCTAGAAACTCTCAATCAAGGCCAAAGGCAAGGACTTAAATCTGCATTTTATTGTGCTTGTCTGGTAACCTCCTGTAACTGACTTCCCTCCCCCTCCCAACGCTGGCATTTCTTTAAGGATTAAGCATCTTAGGCTAGGAACTGATTGCTGCGCTCACCTGTGACCACCCAGCTCCAGACAATAGACTTGCCTCCTGCTACGCCCTCCGAGATAGCAGACCCACTACCTGCTGTGTCCATCAAACACTGTGTCGACAGGGCAATCTTGTGACTATTGTGGGAGGGACATTTCAATCACATGTGAAATATCCTCTTTGGGGGTATATAACCACTCTGTGCACCCCACTTCTTCAGTGCCCTTTCTTCCTTCGGGAAGAAAGGCCCCGGGCCGTGGTTCCTCATAAATCTTTGTTTAATTTTCTCTTGCTATTCTGTCTCATGTGAATTTAATTCATTCTCCAGCCAGACGAACCCACTTCGGATAGAGGAAATGTCTTTCTCCCCTACGCAGGCATTTCAGAGTATCCTGCCCTATATTTCCTCCATGAGAACGAATATAGGTGTTTTTATGACTGTGAATAAAACGGTATGGACTAACTTACTAGCTGCTTTTTTAAAAATTACCTTTGTTTTCTCAACTGTAATTTCTCAATTCCATTCACTCTCCAATTCTCTTGTGAGCAATAAACCTCAATAGATGTTCAAGATCAATTTGTCCAAGAATTGTTTTTAACCAACTTCCGTGTTCGATCCCAGTGAATAGCGAGAACATCCGAATCATTGCCCAAGAAACCAGGGAGAGGAGGCAAGCCTAGCATTGTTACAAAAGAGGGTTTCCGGTAAAAATCTTGCTGCTCATCATTGAAGATGCATTTAATAACATGAAAACACCTTATCCAAAATTTGGAGCTAGGCTATAAGGAATGATGCATGTACTCCTCACCCCTTAATGGTTTTCTGATTGATCCGTTTCTTTCCATCCTTCCTGCCATTGCCTTGGTTCGGCCTTATGATCACTTGCCTGAATTCCTGTAACTGGTCCCTCTCCAATCTCTCTAGCCCACTCTCTATAGTGCAGCTGAAATGGTTTTTTCTGAAACTTACATTCTTTTTTTTTTTTAAAGATTTTTTAAAAATTTCTTTTTCATTTTCTCCCCAAAGCCCCCTGGTACAGGGTTGTATATTCTTCGTTGTGGATCCTTTTAGTTGTGGCATGTGGGATGCTGCCTCAGCGTGGTTTGATGAGCAGTGCCATGTCCGCGCCCAGGATTCGAACCAATGAAACACTGGGCTGCCTGCAGCGGAGCGCGCGAACTTAACCACTTGGCCACGGGGCCAGCCCCTGAACCTTACATTCTGTAGTCTAGAAAAGGCCTTACGTTCCTATAAGATAAGGCAGATAACCATGAAAAACAGACCTGGATTTTCTTTTCTGTTGTTGTTTGGTGTTAATGTGTTGCTGATTTTTGTGTTTGTTTGTTTGTTTGTTTGTTTGTTTGAGGAAGATTAGCCCTGAGCTACCATCTGCTGCCAATCTTCCTCTTTTTGCTGAGGAAGACTGGCCCTGAGCTAACATCCATGCCCATCTTCCTCCACTTTATATGTGGGACACCTGCCACAGCATGGCTTGACAAGCAGTGCCATGTCCTCACCCAGGATCCGAACCAGTGAACCCCGGGCCACCGCTGAATCGGAATGTGGGTACTTAACTGCTGCACCACCAGGCCAGCCCAATGTGTTGCTGTTTTTAATTGAAAGGAAGAACTGTCTTGCTTTTATCAAATTTGACCCAAAAGCAACCAAGCAGACTCATCAACTGTCTGATAATTGAGCTATTGTCTTATCTTGTGATTTTTGCCTTTAAGTATCTGCCTACATTTTTGTTCAGAGAGCCAGTTCTCTAATAACTGGACTTGCAAGTGCAATTAAAAATTTTTATTCTGTACTCAAATTTGTCTTTAAGGGTTTTTTGGGACAAGTTACTCAATTACACTTATTAGCTATATGACCTTGAGTACATTATTAAACCTTCCTACTGAAGGGGATCAGGATATGCCTCTCCAAAATATGTCACTTTGGCATAAGAATTATTTGGCGCTGAAGGGATTTGAATTCCTGAAATCCCTTATCTGCCTAAAGCAGAGCCTCCCAAGAGCTCAGTTGTCATAAACCCCTCCCCGGGAGCAACTCTAATCTCAGACTTGAGAAGTAGACACCACACCAAAAAGGACATTGTCCCAAGACTATCATATCTCCTATCTGTTCTCCTAAAGGATCTTTTATCTTTCCAAAAGGTCATTCCCAAAGTGCTCTTTCTCCCCTTCCCCAGCACCTACTAAATTAGGTGTATAAGCATCAAATTCTAACCACCCCTTTGAGTTACTCAACACTGAATTCTCCTGAGTGTATGTGCTGCACGTGTAAACTCTGTTTTTCTTCTCCTGTTAATCTGTCTTTTGTCAGTTTAATTTGCAGGTCCCAGACATTGAACTTAAGAGGGTAGAGGAAAGTTTTTCCTCCCCTTCCCTAAGAATCAGTTTTCTCATAAAAGTAAAGTGCTTAGTAGAGTTCCTGGCATATAGTAAATGCTTGCTAAGTGCACTAAAACTGATTACCACTATTGGAAATATGGAGATAGTGTTGGTAAGGCTTGAGACTGGAGACTGAAGATCAGGTTTCCAGCTAAAAGGGAGAGGATCAGATTTGAGTTTTAGAAAAATGATTAAACTGCAGGTAGCAAATAGAGGCGGGACTGAAGACAAGAAGACACGCATTGGAGGATATTGTGGTAATCCAAGCAAGCAATAGTGAGGGCAGAACTAAGGCAATTGCAGGAGGGGTGGAAAGAATTGGCCACATCTGAACATAATTCAGGAAAAGCTATTAGCAGGACTTGGAGCTTAATTAAATATGCTCGCTTAGCCCTAATGATGGACAACCTACGGGACAGATGTTGGTTTTTCTTTCTCAACTTGACCCGCCTGTGCTCTTAACCAGGATCCCGTCTGATCATGTTCTCCCATATTGAAATCCTCTCTGGCTCCCCAGGCCTTCCACGTCAGAGCCAAATTCCTGATCACAGCTTCCCAGGCTCTTAGTGATCAGCCTCTACTTACCTATCCTGGCTCTTCCTCTCCCCCAAAATTTGCTTCCCTGTCACAGGACCTTGCTCTCTTCCCCTAGGCTTTGTTTCAGGCAGAAAGCTGCCACCACCACCACACGTAGACACCCCTCCGCACTGTCCCTAACCACCTGCTCATCCTTCAGAACGTAGCTCAGGCTCCAGGTCCTCTAAAAAGCCTTCCGCATCACACGTGCTGATCTGGACATTTTCTGAGCTTCCTGTGGGTGTGGCCAATGAGAACATCATACAGAAGTGTCATTGCCTGGCTCCTCTGCTGGACCTGGGGCAGACCGTCTCATTCCTCTTTTATCTTCTGGCAGTTACACAATAAATTCTGTTAAAGGAAAGGCAAAGCCAATAAGTGAGCAATTTAACAAATGTTGCATATCAGTGTCTCATTTTTAAATTTTATTTTTAACAGCTTTATTGAAGTATAGGTGACATACAATAAACTGCACATGTTTAAAATATGCCGGTGGATGTTTTGACGTGTGTATACTCATGAAACCATCACCAAAGTCACGATAGATGGTGAACACAATACTGAGCAATGGGCTCACTCTGTTCCCCACAATCTGAGCCAATTAATCACAACAGGTTAGGGATCAAGAAAGGAAGTTTTGATTTGATTAGCCGGCATAATCGGAAGACAGGTGACTAATGTCTCAACAAAGCATTTTCAAGAATTACAGAATCTTGGGGCCGGCCCCGTGGCCGAGTAGTTAAGT